TACCTTCGTTCGCGTCCGTCTGGATGAACCCTTACACTAATAATCTACGGTCTAGCCTGCAAGGCGTCTACGTCTTCTGCATTGCTTCAGCCTTCTCGACAACCACAGGCAAGGTGGAGTGCTTCACGCCAGCTTCCTTCAACACAGAACATAGTTGTTACAGTGTCGCCAGCAATTTCCCTAGCAGGAGCTATTTGAAACAGACTGGGTAGGTATACTGTCTACAGTGATGCGTTGGTCAGGTCACCTGACCAAACAAAGGAACCGGAATGTTAATGATCAACGAATCCAATTACACATCTAAATTTTACAAGCTGCTGGACAATCACAATACTTACGAAACGCTACAAGAGCGACTAGTAGTTACAAAAGGCCTCTAAGACTGTTCTTCAGCGAGCTCGACACGTCCCCCATAAGACAGATCATGACAAAAAGCTTCATATCTTCTGCCTGGTAAACATGAACTCGGCAGGTTACATGATCTTCCAAAACCCATGAACCTAACATCCCCACTTAGACCCATCACCTTAGGCAGTGGAAGTGAGCCACACAGACACGCGGGTCTGCTCGCTAAGTACATTTCAGAATTACTGGGAATAATATGCTAAGCCAACTTAAAACACTCGGAAGACCTCATCTCACACACGTACACTATCAACGTCTTAGACACGAACCTGACCAGTTTCAACATCGCCTCGTTGATTACCAGTGTACCCACCACACAGCCCTTACGGCACCATGGCAGAAAATTAGCGACAGCATGGACACCCTTGTTCTAAACAAATTAGTCGTTAATCTAGTAGAATAATATATACTCTGTTACACAGCAACAGGGAATTATTCTAAGCTTGCCTAACCTACAGGCATGACCTACTTACACTAGTGAATTTGTCCAATGGTGACTCCGCCTCCTCCTGCTTCTACTCACCTGACTGCAGTATATAAGCCACTTCTTCCAACATATTCTATACTTTTCTCAAGATTGATGGACTGAACACATCCACTCCATCCTCAGTCACCGATTACTTCAAACTCCTCCTCTCTTTACACCATTCTTCTTTGTATTGGACTGATGAAGCCACTATGTGGCGAAACGTTTCCTCAATAAAAATTCCCATATTAGTTACCTTTCTTGGACAATTTAACATTTCGAACCTTTTCACTAAAATCATCAGCACAGAACCAATCCTCAAGCTCACCCTGGCAGTAGATAAAGAGATGTTCTGATGTAAAAACTGACGAGATCCTGGTTTTCATGGTTATACACCAGTCAAGTAATAAAGATAATCTCCTGTGTTAGTACTTCCATCACCACACTAGCACTATGATAACAGTCATAATTACATTCTCCTTGAGAGCTTATAGGATCTCCAGCCCGACCGTCCTCGAAGAAGTGTACTCACATATCCAGCGTATATTAATCTGTCTACAGTTTCCTTCACACTATAACAATGGTTGTAGGTGGTGAGTGCAACGCATCGCCAACACAACAGCTTAAGAAAGACCCACTAGAGGTACATGGTCCTGTGTGAGGACGCAGCCAGTAACGTGCCTAATGCCTAATATTTTGTAGTGTTGAACACGTTTCTTCATTACAAAGGCTATTCTTACACTTTTACTAAGGCCTCGTTTAGATCATGAGGTGCAGTGTTCCTCTATACTGCAAAATGGATATAAATTTATGGGAGAACTTGCAGAAGACGATGATACAATTAATCGATGGGATAGGAAACTTGTCCTACGAAGAAAAATTGAGAACCCTGAGCCTAAACTTTCTAGAAGACATATAGCAAAGGAATATACGATTGATGGTTGATACGATGATGGGTTTAGAGCAGGTCGCTCCTGCCTGTCCCAACTACTGGATCACTACAACAAGGTCCTTGATGCACTAGAAGACAAAAGGAATGCAGATGTAATATACACAGACTTCGTAAAAGCCTTCGACAAGTGTGACCATGGCGTTATAGCGCGCAAAATGCGTGCTAAAGGAATAACAGGAAAAGTTGGTAGATGGATCTATAACTTCGTCACATATAGAACACAAAGAATAATAGTCAACAGAGTAAAGTCTGAGGCGGCTACGGTGAAAAGCTCTGTTCCGCAAGGCACATTACTCGCTCCCATCTTGTTCCTCATCCTCATTTCTGACATAGACAAGGATGTAAGCCACAGCACCGTGTCTTCCTTTGCAGATGACACCCGAATCTGCACGACAGTGTCTTCCATTGCAGACACTGCAAGGCTCCAGGCGGACATCAACCAAATCTTTCAATGGGCTGCAGAAAACAATATGAAGTTCAACGATGAGAAATTTCAATTACTCCGATATGGTAAATATGAGGAAATTAAAACTTCATCAGAGTACAAAACAAATTCCAGCCACACAATAGAGCGAAAAACTACCGTCAAAGACCTGGTTGTGATCATGTCGGAGGATCTCACCTTCAAGGACCATAACATTGTATCAATCGCATCTGCTAGAAAAATGACAGGATGGGTAATGAGAACCATCAAAACTAGGAATGCCAAGCACATGATGACACTCTTCAGGTCGCTTGTTCTATCTAGGCTGGAATATTGCTGCACACTAACAGCACCTTTCAAGGCAGGTGAAATTGCTGACCTAGAAAATGTACAGAGAACATTCATGGCACGCATAACTGAGATAAAACACCTCAATTACTGGGAGCGCTTGAAGTTCCTGAACCTGTACTCCCTGGAACGCAGGCGGGAAAGATACATGATTATATACACCTGGAAAATCCTAGAGGGACTAGTACCGAACTTGCACACGAAAATCATTCTTTCCGAAAGCAAAAGACTTGGCAGACGATGCACCATCCCCCCAATGAAAAGCAGGGGTGTCACCATCACGCTAAGAGACAACACAATAAATGTCAGGGGCCCAAGACTGTTCAACTGCCTCCCAGCATACATAAGGGGGATTACCAATAGACCCGTGACTGTCTTCAAGAAGGCACTAGACAAGCACCTAAAGTCGGTACCTAACCAGCCGGGCTGTGGCTCGTACGTTGGATTGCGTGCAGCCAGCAGTAACAGCCTGGTTGATCAGGCTCTGATCCACCATGAGGCCTGGTCACAGACCGGGCCGCGGGGGCGTTGAGCCCCGGAACTCTCTCCAGGTAAACTCTCTCTCCCCAGGTAAGATGGCTGGCAAGTGTGAGAAATCAGGGAAGTCAACTGATTTCCCGTAACCACTAGGAGAAAGGGAAGGGGGCTGAGGTATGAGAATATGTATGTAATATGTATACTTACTCGATGTTGCCACATTTCCTTTATCCACTTTTAATTTCTAAAACTAATTTAGTAATGAAGCTTCTATAGGTTAAAATTACCAGGTTTTATAAGTATTTAAGCTAAGCTAGAGCTAGACATACATAATTTAGTTTAGTATCTACAGTTACCTTTCACAGCCCACACAAATTGACAATAGCGATCACAACCATACATCTATTCTACACAACAAGTATAAACGAAGGAGATATACAACGGGTATTGAGACATAAAAAAAATCTAAATAATACATTTAAGTTGGATAAATTCAGGTTTAGAAAGGATAAATGAAGCAATATGTGCAAGGTGTTTACAGAGGGCGGGATGAGACTGACCACTACCGCTAACACCTCTATTAAAAAAAAAAATATCGGTATTTTTAAAGACAGAATAAAAGTGTCACCGTGCTGGAGCTGCGACAAAATCTATGTGGGAGAAACGTCAATGACCTCAAGAATGCTTGGCATAATTTCAGATATACAGGAGAGATATATAAGAACAGCCACGCTACTGTAATGTACTGCAGTTTGGCCAACCTCATCTATAAATATTCACACGACGTTGTTGGCGTCGAATTAGCAGTTATCATTTTGGTTAATACAATTGTGCAGAACACCGGGAGTCTGAATATTTCAAAAGTTTAAGCTAAAGTGGTGGTGAGGTACCAAGGCAAGACACGGCTGATAAGTCATACTATTGTTCTTCACACGCCTCGGCTACATTACACCTCGCATTCTCCCCTTCCCCTACCTATATTTTCTCATGATTTCCTTACGCTGTCTTGGACTGCAAACGCTCCGGGTGAGCCAAACATATCCTGTAAGTTTCCAGAGGTACTTGTAGTATACTGAGTATAATACAAACTCTAATCACACAATAGAGCGGAAAAGTAATGTGAAGGACGTGGGGTGGTAATGTCTGAGGACCTCACCTTCAAGAATCACAACAATGCCACTATCACATCTGCGAGGAAACTGATAGGAGGGATAATGAGAACATTCAAGACAAGAGATGCCAAGCCAATGATGATCCTTTTAAAATCACTTGTTCTCTCTAGAATGGAATACTGCTGTACACTAACAGAATGTAGAGTACCATTACTGCACATATAAGTTCCATCAAACACCTTAACTAGTGGGAACGCTTGAAAGCACTTGACTTGTACTCACTGGAGCGCTGACGAGAGAGATACTTCATAATCTACACGTGGAAAATTCTAGAAGGACTGGTCCCTAATCTGCATACAGAAATCACTCCCTACGAAAGCAAAAGACTGGGCAGGCGATGCAATATACCCCCAGTGAAAAGTAGGGGCGCTTTAGTACACTAAGAAAAAACAATAAGTGTCCGGGGCCCAAGACAGTTCAACAGCCTCCCACCAGCCATAAAGGGAATTACTAATAGACCCCTTGTTGTCTTCAAGAGGGAGCTGGACAGATACCTAAAGTCAAAGCCAGATCAGCCAGGCTGTGGTTCGTACGGTGGACTACGTGCGGCCAGCAGTAACAGCCTAGTTGATCAGGCCCTGAGCCACGGTGAGGTCTGGTCATGGACTGGGTCTCGGGGGCGTTGATCCTCGGAATACCCTCCAGGAAGACTCCAGATAGGTAGGTAGACACAAACATCAGTTCCCATGATCTACACTGACACAGACTCACCAAAACAATTATACATACATGATTCCTGATTATCACTAGACTTACTGAGTGGTGGTGGTAACACTAATGATTGGTGGTGGTAACACTGGTGATTGGTGGTGGTAACACTGGTGAGTGGTGGTGGTAACACTGATGATTGGTGGTGGTAACACTGGTGAGTGGTGGTGGTAACGCTGCCTGGCTTCTTAGCTGAAGGTAAACACCACCAAGACATCTCAG